TCCCCGATCTGTGGTCCCTCAACCTTCTGCTGTCCTCAGCTAACCGTGGCCTTCTGAGCTCAGGTGAGGGGACTGTGTGGTTACTAGGGAAAATGTGCTCCCGCTCTAGGCTTGCTAGCAGCTTTAGGGCAATGAGCTATCTTTCTAAAATGAGGTTTTCCATTTCAGAGAGTCTGAAGCCTCCAGCTCTGCCAAACTGCAGGCCTTCCCCACAGCTCAGGATAGCTGGGATCACGGCCAAGGTTGAGCTGCTAGTGGACCCCTACCCCTACCTCTACCAAACCAGCCACTGCAACCTGTGGGGGACCCCCATACGTGTATATATAATGCACAGGCTAGCAGTAGGAGCTTCTCTCTTGTTCTTTATATATTTACATACTTAGGTAAAAAATGAATACACAAAGGAGTCTAGCATAACCTGCTATGCAGTTAGACAGACCTAGATTCTAATCCCAGTTCCAATAATTAATCTTGCTACCTGGGCAAGACATCTTTCAACCAACACAGTTTCTTCCTTTGTGAAATGAAGACAATAACGCCACCCACCTCAAGGGTCTGCTGCAGGATAGAATAGGGGCAAGCTCTTAGCACCGTGCCCAACATGCAGCAAGGACCCTATCAGTGTGGGCCCTGCCATAGTGCTGTGGCCTGTAGAATCACCGCCTGTCTCCTCCATTTGGAGAGTGACGGCTGACAGCAGGCCTGAGGCTGCCAGGTAGGGAGGCTGCTGTGCGCAGCACCTCTGTGGAAGCAGCTGGTGACGGCAGTCTTTCAGAAGGTATTACAGGCTATTGTTTTAATCAATACTGTTATTTTCTCCATGGCATCTATCCCCATGTTTACTATGTGTAAATAGGGTCTTTCAGTGATGTGAATGTGTTAGCTTAATGTAGCTGACTTTCAGCATGTGTGATGTGGTGGCTGCCCCTCAGGACCTCCAGGAAAATGAGATGATGTATCTGCCACAAAGTCATCCTTGTGAGCGAAATTTGAGAAATACGACATGGTGGTGGTCACGGTACCCAGTGCATGTTTGTGAGCAAGGAAAACAGACCATAAACATGAGCCTGCGAGCATGTCTGGCTGCTGGGGAGAGGGTGTGAATAGTGGGGATCCTATAATTGGGGGCTGGAGTTCCCTCAGCCAAATCTACATTCTGTACTACTCCACATTGCCTGGCAGAATCCTGCCCATCACTTTACTCTTGTCTGCCCCAGGAATTTGTCAAAGTTGACCCTTCATGATAGCTATTCCTAGATTCTTGGATTCTTGCATAGTCCCCTTCATCTCTGTATTAGCTTTCTTTTTGCTGGACAAAATACCTGACCCTCAAAACTTACAGAAGGAGATGTTTATTTTTACTCAAGGGCTTGGGGGGTTCAGTCCATGGTTAGTTGGCTCCAAGGCAGTAACATCATGGTGGAAGGGTGTGGCAAAAGAAAGCTGCTGTTTGTGGTGGCCAGGAAGCAGAGCAGGGGAATAGGTTCAGATATAGACCCCCAGGGTCACAGCTCCATAATTCACTCAGACATACCCATTAGTGTACTTTACTAATCCCCTCAGTGGCTCCCAAGCCAATCAAGTTGACAAGGTTAGCTGTTACACTCTCTTTCCAATATGTCACTCTGGAGATCTGAAAGCTCATCCGGTGCATGCTTCTCTGGCTCAGCCCCATCTGTGGGTGTGACCCAGTCTGTCTGCCCAGAAGGCTGTGTGTGGCAAAGGTGGCCTTTCCAAACTTTTCATGTGAGTTTATCATTCTTCTTCCTATATCAGGGTGCTTAGAATAAGAGACATCAGCACTATCAGTTCCTCTCATGGAGTTCCATGGGACTAAAGGGAAAATGAAAGGTTTAATTTAGACTTGGGGAGGGGTTCACCACTGTGACGTACCCCAGGCCAGCTACCACATGTGGGTCACAATTAACAGGTCAAACCCCCCAAATAGGTAAGTAACCCAATAATATCAGATTCAGACAACTTTGGATTCATTGGTAGAGCTCTCTGGAGCTACCTTTTCCAAAATAGTTTGTAGAATTTTATCACAGAATGAGATTCTATCCACTGTTTCTTTTTTTTTTTTTTTTTTTTTTCTTTTTAACAGTGTTTGGAAGCAGAGGGCTGGGTAGGAAAACTGGCTGATTTTCCACCTTTATGTTAAATGGCAAAGAGGGCCTAAGGGAAGCTGCTGCTAAGAAATGTGGGAAGGGAGGGACTGGGGCCTAGCACTTCAAGCCTGTCTGTTCATCTGTCCAGACTGCTTGTCAAACTCTGGGGCTCCATCTCACTAAAAGGTACTCTATAAATGTAAATAGCATCATTATCATTAAGTTCCGTCTGTGTGCCTTAAACCCACCACACACAATGTGATTGGAGTCAGGTTTCGTTTCCCTTCCTTGCCTGAGAGATATGAGGGAGGTGTTTTTCTTGGCAAATAAATATGATATCATAAGCCCTGGCAGGATTCCAACCTGAGTAATGGCCGTCTGCCTTCCTAATTCCCTCCGCAGCTTGGAACAGGAACATTATTCTTTACTTCCTCTCTTTAAAAACAAACTCCCTATTGAAAAGCATCACTCAGCCGCACGATCCCTCCCCATTGTGGCTGCATTCCAATGACAGGATGTGAGGGATGAGCTCAGATTACAGTGTACACTAGAGAAAACACAGCGAGACATTTGGCCTAGAAAAGGCACCTGAGGACCTCGAATGACAGCGGCCACTCTTCACGTGTCTGTTCATGAGGGACACACAGCCAAAAGGCATTAAGAATCACATTGTGTAGCATTGCCATTTCCCTGTCTAAATCATTATTGAGTAACTAGGTAACTAGGTAACCCAACCCAGGCTAGCTATTTGCCAGAAAGTGCTCAGCTATATTGCTGAACCCCTCTCACTGTGCATGGCTGGGGCGTACTGCTGGGAAATAAAGTTTCTCTGGCCATATGAGCCCTGCTACCTTGATGTATATACCTCCAACTTTGTTTGTCATTAGTTCTTCATAAATAATACTTTGAGAGAGGTAGCAGTTATTGTTACTGTTATGGTTTGGATATTAAATGTCCCCCTGAGGCCACACATTAAAGGCTTGGTCTGCAGCCTTTGGAACCACTGGCAAGTGGAGGAATCTTTAAGAGGTGGGGCCTAGTAGTAGTTAGGCATGGGGGTGTATCCTTGAGAGGATATGGGTACCCTGGCCTCTCTCTGTTCTTCTGCTTCCCAGCCTCCACAAGGTGAGCAGGCCTCCTTTGCCACATACTCCCTGCTATGATGAGCTATCTCTTCATGGGCCCCCAAACAATGGAGCCAACTGACCACGGACTGATACCTCTGAGACTATGAGCCCAAGTAAACCTCTCCTTCTTTAAATTGTTATCTCAGATACTTTGTTATGTGATGGAAAGTTAACCAACATAGTTACCTTTCCTCTTATAAACCTGAAAACAAAGGCCCAAGGAGATGCATTAGGTCACTTATTCAGGGCTATAGATTATACAGAGCAGAAGTGGGAGTTGAACGTAGGTCCTTTGTTTTAAATCTAATTATTGTGATGCCACATCAAGCCTTATCATTATGTTGGGGCTGTGAGGACCTTGCACTCCAACTTGCCTATGTTGAAGCTGCAATTTCAGGGTGGCAGAGTGAAATCATGGAGTCTGGAGCTGGGACATGGGTTCACCTCCACTGGCCACTGAGGTGCTGGGGGCTTGCTGGCAGTCCTTCAGTCAGATGAGGTCAGCACCTGGCTGAGCTTATGTGGAGGTCTTGAAGCAGGTATGTGGCAAGGTCCCTGGAAGTTCTGGGATCAAGGAACACTAGTGTGTAGTCTCGGGGTTGTCGATTCACCCAATTCACATTAATTGAGCCTCTAGTATGGTTAAACTTGGGGATATAGCTGTAAACAAGGTAAAGTCCCGCTGGTAGTCTGGCAGAAGGGACAAGCCAACAGAATACTACCATTATAACACAGGCAGAGAATCTTTAGTCTAGGAATTCAAAATCTGAACTGCTCCAAGACCCAAAACTTTTGGAATGTCACAGGTGGGATATCCCACATCTGAATTCATGTGACAGACTGAAGTCAAAACGTAAGTGCACTAACATATCGTATAAAATTACCTTCAGGCTACTTGTAAAGGTGTATATGAGACATGAATGGGTTTTGTGTTTAGACTTGTGTCCCATCCATAAAATATCTGAGTATGGATATGCAAATATCCAAAATCCCCCAAAACTAAAAATCTGAAACCTGCTTTCAAGCATTATGGATAAGGGATATGCAATCTGTATAGTGAGATGAATGCTCTGGTGAGAATACACCATTGCCATGTGTAGGAAGATTTGGACAAGGCCATTCCGGGAAATGATCATAGAGAACGTGACATCTAATGTGTAACTCAAAGGACAGATGGGAAGCCAGCAGGTAAAGATGGGGCTGCCAGTGTTCTAGGCTAAGGACAAAACATGCAAAGGCCAGGAGGCCAGAGGAACACTTAATCTCAGATGACGGCATGTTTGGTTGTGAGTAGAGTTGGAGGGAGAGCGGAAAGGCACAAGAAGTCATATGACAGAGCCAGTTAGCAGACCTCGCTGGAGCAGAGTCTTGAGGCTGCCATGTCCCGCAAGGCCCAAGCCCTCCTACTCCAACCTCATAGCCTGGAATGTCTTAACTTTGCTCTTTGCTTTCTCAGGCTTCAACCCTGCAGGAAGGAGGAACTGGAAACACATGCAAACCAGAGCCATCAGCACTGACCCCAGATTAAAAAAATCTTGCTGTGCTTTCTCTAACTGAAGGACTATAATCTGCACGATGTTCATTTAACATATTTTTGCCTTCCGAATGGCTTTTACTTTTCACTAAATTGAAACTGCGGTACAATATATGTGAATGATTAGTTTGTGTAATACATTCCAGCAAATTCAGATTAGGAGTGATTATGACTTAAGTAAAATAGTTGAACACAATTCTTATTGCCATCTATCTTTTCTCTTCTTTTTAGTGTTCACGGAGGTGACTGAATGCAAGGAATGAATGACTCTGAGGAAAGCTGAGAGTGGGCAGGGAAGGGTGGAGATCTGTGTTTGAGGGAAAGCCAAACAGGAAGTTTCAAGTCTGGAGTTTGCGGAGAAGCCCTGGGTTTCGAGGCAGATGGGAGGCCAGTCCTGGATCTGCCACTGGCCAGCTGTGTGACCTTCAGCAAGTTACATAAATTCTGTGAGTCTCGGTTTCCCATCCACAAAATGTGCCTTATTTATCCCTGGCTCATGGGATTTTTGTGGGGATGGAATGAAGCCAGGGACCAAGAGCAACATGTTGATGACCTAGGATGATGATCAGACTTTGGGTGTACCCTTTACTAGAGCTGTGTGACCTTGGCCTTTGTGACTTGCCCTCTCAGATCCCCAATTCCTAACCCACCAAATGGGAATAAGTGTACTTAATCATGGGTATCTTTGAAGAGAAGCTTTGTAAAATGTAAGCCATCTGGGAAGGCTGGAGGGCTGGTGGAGGTGTGAATGGAGCCTGAGGGGGTTTCCTTCCCTGGTGAGCAACCTGGTATGGTGTGGGTCGATCTTTGCTGGGAGCCTGTGCTGGGAAGGTGAAGGATAGGTACCCTGGGTAAAATTTCACTTTGCAGTCCCAAGCCTTGCACCCGCCCTGAGAACTCCCAATCCTCCTTTCTCTGTTCTATATTTCACCCTTAGGGATAAACACATTTTAACAGTCTGTGTAATGCATGTGCGTGTTATGTTTTTATGTAGAGTCTGTCTCTGGGTTCAAAGGTAGGAAATAGATTCATTCCCTGATATCCCCAGATACCTAGCACACAGCCTGGCCTGTTAGGAGGAGCACAGGAAATATATGTCAAGTGAATGGATTTGCAAGTGAGGCTAGACTTCCGTCTCCTGGGAAAGCTGAGCTGAGAGCAGGGAGCCGGGGTAAACGGAAGGCATCAGTCACTTCTGCAGGGAGCTTGCTGCAGCGAAAAGGAAAGAACAGAGGTTTAGGGTGTGGAGCCTGACACCCATTCTACCAGGGAGCCACAGGCCCTCAGGATTTTCCCCAAAGCCAGAGACACCCACAACCTGCCTATGTCTTCCTGTCCCCTCTTAGCAACCTGACAAAATGTCTCCCAATCAGAACAGTTACTGCCACCCTGGAGCTGCTTCCTTTGAGGTATCTGCCTCCTACGGCTCTGGCTGGAGACCATATTTCTTTTCTTCATGACAACAGAGACAACAAATAAGATGACAGCAGGTACAGGGCTCTCCAAGTGCTCCAGAGCTGAAGAAGGCTGGACTGGCCACAGCATCTGCATGGAGGGGGCAGCAGCTACTGCCCAGGTGGTTGAGGAGCTGCCCGACTCCTCCTGGACTCAGGCGAGGTGATTGACTTGGTCTGTACCGCTCCTCTCTGAGGCAGGCAGCACTGTGGCAGCCACCCCTGCTTACCCAGCAGGCAGGGCCTTTGGGTCCTACGTGCTTGGGAAAGTGAGGGGAACCTTCCAGGGGAGCTGGCATTCTGTGAGGGCTACCTAAGTCAGGTGCATTGGTAAGCGCTTGACAACCCTGTGAAACAGCTACTTTTGTGCTCAAAAGAGGATATGGAAGCTCAGAAAGGTCGAGTACAGTTGGCTGTCCATATCTGCAGGTTCTGCATTCAGATTAAATCAACCATACTTTTAAAACCTTGTGTCTGTTCTGAACACATACAGATCTTTTTCTTGTTAATGTTTTCCTCAACGATACGGCTGAACAATTATTTATATAGCACTTACATTGTGCTAGGTGTTATAATAATCTAATGCATATGGGAGGATGTTTTGTGTCAGTTATATGCAAATGTAATGTCATTTTATATAAGGAACTGGAGCACCCATAGATTCTGGTATTCATGGGAGGGGTCCCGGGATCAATTTCCGATGGATACGGAGGAATGATGACAATTAGTGAGTGGTCAGTCTGTTTAGTAGTTAGCTGGCAATGCTGGGGTAAGAAGTCCTCGTCTCTGAAGCCAAAAGACAGCTCTCTTGGCACTGAGTAGTGGGCACTCCCCTTGACAGTAAGTGCACTCCTTTCCTTCTGAGCCGCAGCTTCTCCACTTTTCACCAGTCACTGATGCCTGGGAGATGCGCTCTGTGCTCCAGCCAATTCTATCGTGCCACCTGGTCTACCCTTGTCAGTGTCCCCATCCCCTGCCCCCAGGCCCTGGGCTTGGGCTGGGTCTGTCCTGTGCCCCAGCTGAGGGCTGAGGCCCTGTGTCAGTTGCTACCCGAGAGCTGCTCTTTCTGCTCTGGCTCATCCTAGGATGGGGTCCCCTCCGAATACCAGCAGGGGCCGCGCACGGCAACACCAGCACTAACCATGACTCTGGCTGACTGTTGAGCATTTATTTATTCATTTTTGGTACTGGGACTTGAACTCAGGATCTCGCGCTTGCAAGCAGGCACTTGTGCCACTGAGCTAAATCTCTGGCCCTTGTCAAGCATTTATTGAGACTTAGACTCTGAGGTCGGTGTTCTTAGCCACTATTCTGTCCTGCCTCTTCCTCATTTGACATGGTCTGTGATCTTACCTGTCATGGTGATTTTCTGGATAGCATCCTCCTTTAAACCTCTTTGAAGAGCTCCACCCCAAATTCCACATGTGGACTGATGGCGCAAAGTCCAGGGGATGTTACTTTCTCTCTCTCTCTCTCTCATCACTTTGTAATGAAGAGGTCGCAGACTGCACTCACTTTCCTGGTCCCCCAGGCCTAGGGATGGCTCCTATTGGGTTGTTCAGTGTGCCCCGCAAGAGGCCTTGGGCCTTGCCTAACTCCCCAAGGCTTCTAGAAACAGGCCATGGTGGGCAAACCTCTCCTTTGGCTGAGGTCAGAGGCTCCAGTTCTCCCATCCTACCCCAAAGGCCAGGTCTGCAGGGGCTGCAGGGGCTGCAGTCAGCCTACTGTGGCTCACAGCGGACTGAACAGGGGGAAGAAAATCTTATCCTGGGCCAGTGCGGGCTGGATGGAGGCAAAACAGCCTATCTGTGAAGGTCACTCCCACTGTTCAGTGAGCAATCTGTCCCCATTTCAGCCTCAGTGAGAAGGTGATGGAGGATGTAATTAGGGCCTGAGCTGCGCCTGTGGGGCTGCTGTGCTGGATCAAGGAGGCTGGGGACACAGGCAGCACAGTATCTCTGTCCTCAGAGACTCCGTGCTATCTGGAATCCAGGTGCACACGATGGCTCCCTCGATGGGTGCCAGATTCAGGTCTTCCTGCTTTTTCTTCCCTGCTTCTGCTCTCATCATGATGTATCTGTCTGTGTGTCTCATTTCACCCCATTCCCTTGAGGACTTGTCTTATTAGCGAGTGATCTAATGCACTAATGTGGCATTAAGATGTTAAAGTCTAACAATTGGCCTGATGTTTGTAACTAGCTGTACCCTAAGGGTGCACATCTTGAATAGGAGGATTCCTTGACCTAAAGGCATACATCCCTTAGGGTGAAGTTCTTCTTGTTCCTGAAGGAGGATCTTTATGCAGGGCAGGCCCCAAGTTGCTATAATGTGGAGGACACTACAGTGCCTGCAGCAAGCACTTTCCCAAGGGCCTGTTGCTAGTGTACGGCAGAGCAGGGGAAAGAGCCAGGTTGGGAGTTCTTCCTGTATAGCCTGATGCATCCTAGCCCCAGTCTGCATTGCACCTGGGCCTCCAGCCAGGTCAGGGTCCTGCTCTTGTGTGGAGCTGGAGTGTCCCCCGAAGGCCTATGTGCTCAAGGTGTGGTCCCCAGCCTGAGGAACCACTGGGAAATGGTGAGCATATAGGAAGTGGGACCTAGTGGGAGAAAGTTGGTCACTGAGGGCAAGCACTGCACCCTTGACCCTTGACCTTTGCTAGGGATATTGGTCCCTTGGTCCCTTCTCTGTCTCTGTCTCTCTTCCTGCCTCTCTCTGTCTTTCTGTCTCTTGGTCTCCCTATCCCTCTCTCCCTCCCTCTCTCTCTACTGCCTGGCATAAGCTGAACAGGCTTCCTTTGCCAAGTGCTCCTGCCGTAATGCACATTGCAACCCCAGCCTCAAACAGTAGGGCCACATCACCATGGACTGAAATCTCTGAAACCATAAGCCACAATAAACATTTTCTCCTATTAAGTTAATGGTCTCAGGTATTTTGTCACAGTAAAGGAAAGCTAACCCACACTGGTTCATCAGGGTGGAGTGCTACTAGCAGGAGGACCTGGCATGTTCAGAGAAATTGCTTTGTCTTGCAAGTCCAGAAGGAGAGAAAGATAGGAGAACTATAAAGATTTCTACCATTTCCTGTTCACTTTCTGTGTCCTGACACTGTGTCAGCCTCTTTAAATATGTATATGAAGTTGTAATATATATTATCACTCTCTGTTTCATCTGTAAAAAACCCTGAGGATCAGAAAGTTTAAATATCTTACACATGCCACCAATAGCAAGTCCTGCAAAGGGTAACAGTGACCCTAAATCAGCATCTGTGCCCACTCTTCATTCCTGGAGTCCAAACAGCCTTAAGCCTCTTGCTGGGCCAATAGTTCCCACCTGGTTCCATCCCCTCAGGACTGGCAGATGTGTGGGACCTGCAATGCCAGAACTGGGGCTGCTTGCCTTTAGACTTCCTAGACAGTAGCCCCGAGGGAACTAGGAGCCTGGTTGGGGGAACTGTGAAATAAAATTCCATACCCTTCTGTAGGGCCCCTTGGATGGGGACTTACACGTACTGAGTGCCCATGATGTCTCAGACCCTGGCCTAGGTATTTTCCAAACAGTTCTTGTTTTAATCCTATTAACAATGCTGTGAAGTATACATCTTATTCCTTTACAGAGGTGAGAAAATGGAGACGAAAGGAAGTCTAAAGTCACCCAGCAAAGAAACACAGGGAGCCGAGATTGGAATATTTGAGGTGATTCTAAAATTGTGTTCTCCCACACCATGCAGCCTTCCAAGGAAGATTAGGGTCCAGTGGAGGCAGAGCTTCCTTGCAGAACTTCCAGTCTGCTGGGGATGACAGAGCACATCAAGCCAGAAAAGACCAAGACATGACCCCTGGGTAGGGCAGGCAATGTTCACCTGCCTGGCCCTGCTCCCCGCTGTCTGCTCCTGCCTCATGGTGCCTCTGGGTGTAGCAGAGCAGGCCTGGTTGGAGCAAGAGCTCCTGTGGAAGAGACTGGGCCAGAGTAGAAGCAGCCCAGCCCTCTG